CTTCTTGGTCAGTGTTTAGACACCTGTGATTCCACATGTTAGGGAGAGGAAGCTGTTCCAGTTGTATTTTGTGGATCTTGAATATTTTTATTTGTCAAAGTCAATCATGATTCCATATTTACTCTTAAACGTCAGACTTCCAATTAAGTCATCGGTTAAAAGTAAAGGTGTTTTTTGTTGGTTTTTTTTTTTTTCTTCAATGAAAACTTAAAGTTCTACAGCACAAGATAAAGTCCTCAAATCTTGGCAAACCATTCCAGTTTTTCTTACCTATAGTTCAGGACTGAGAATAGCCAAGACAAACATGTCTCACCAGATACTGTTATTTTTTGCCTCTTTACCTCAGATAAGGACTTTAGCCCTCCCATCACCACCTTTTTGCCAAGTAAATTCTTGAATGTATCTGAATCGGTTTCAGTACCATGTCAGTTGTTCTTGGAGGTAAACAGTGCTGCAGATAACCTGTGATATGAAAATACTGCTTGTATTTTCTAGCTTTATACTGTTAAAATGTAGTATTTATAGCTTCTCATCAGTTTTGAACCCTAAGCAGTATGCAAATCTGTGCTTTATTGGACAATATTGAAAAGTGAAGATTATTGCATTAAAATAAGTAAGAGTTGTTAATTGATATGACCTGTTGAAGCTTTAAATTAATTTGACTGTAAAGAATGTAAAGGAATGATCCTGTTCTGTTCTTAATACATACATTTACACGAAGGGAAGGAACAGTATCTATTAAATGTTGTAGCTTTTTAACATGTTCACTGTGTTCAACTAGGTATGTGTGATCTAATTAGCTGCTTCTGTGCTGAGGCCTAACGCTTCAGAAGCATATAAAAGCATCTGCCTTAAAGATGGCAGTTCTTCTCAGTTTGACTCAAATCAAAAGCATTAATTACTACTGTTAAGTTAAAGGTTATTTTTGTAAATAGATTCCAGGTATTTTGAATTTTCTATGTAAAGCGCCTCATGGTGCGCAGTTTTTTAGCATTAGTCCATTAATGCTGTAGAATGCAATATGCTTGTTGATTTGAGGTTAACATCACACAGATAATTAACACTGCACTCGTTGATTTTCAGCTCTTAAAACAAGAAATGGCTCAGCATAGAAGCCTTTTCTGGCTGCTCTGCACAGTAAGCTGGTTAGCCAGATATGTGGGTTAAGATCCTAAGAATTTATTTTTCTCATGAACTTTTCCATTTTGGGCTGAATACAAGTCATTTTACTATTAGGCACATGTATTCTTTTCTTGCAATTGTAACATGGGAAATTCTGCTACCCATCTTGTGTGAAAGCCATTGCAAGCAACACTTTGTATTCCACAGAGCATTTTCATCTACACCTTTAGACATTGTTACATATTCTGGGGAAAAAAATGGTGCGTCTGTGGAAATGTCTTACCAATGATTCAGGGTTTTTTTTCTTCAATAAAATGAAAGAATCAATTAGAAAGACAAATTACAAAGCCCAAAGTGTAATTGGAGTAAATAATGTGCTAACCAGTACGTAACAGTTCTGTATTTTAAGGTTACATTAGAATGAGTTAGTTTGGTGCACCATTAATAATAAATACATTCTTTGAAACTAAGCCTATCATTTGTACACTGATTCTTGGGTAATACGTAAATTGATATTATGGCCAACTGCAGGAGATTTGACTCATTTTAGACTTGGTGGAAATTCTAGTGGGTGGCTTAACACCCAAATACCTGCAGGTCTTGAATCATACAATTCCGGACTTCAGAGAAAGCCTTTTGTAATGTAGGACTCGTAGTAAGTTTGGATGTTCTGGCACAGAGATAACAAAAAAATGTTGAACACTCATGTTTTGGGGAGCTTGACTTTTTGCCACATGGAGAGAAAGGATTTATGTTTATGCAAATAATGGGATTGAAATACCCACATGGGGTTATATTCAGGGGGCAGCTGCTGCTTTTACTTATCATAAGCAAGAATAATTGGTGCTTTGGAACTGTACTTGCTTCACAGCTTGGCCCCAGATTGGGTTGGAGAGAAATCCCTTCCCTAACATCTGCTTAATTGCTTTCCTGTGGAAAGAAATAGGTGACTGAAAGGCTTGAACATAACCTTTAAATAAACTAAATTCAGATAAATAATTTGGTAGCCAAGTAAAGGACTAAACGATAAATTCACAGGTACAGTCAGTTATCCCTTCTTGTGATATTGATATAATAATTATAATATAGTTACCTACATAATTCTGTAAACTTAGCTGTGATTTTTCTGTGGGTTAGTTTTCAAGAGCAGCTTGAAAAAAAAAATCTATTTAAATGTGGAATAACTTAATTCTGATTACTGTTAAATCTATTAAATGGGTTTCCGAGTTTTCATATAGCTCAGATTTTTTTTTATTTTTTATTTAGAGACATATGTCCTAAGTGTTTTTGTTTGTTTTTTTTTTCCTGCCTTCCATGGAGAAGGCATAGTTCCTTGGATGCTAGGAGTATTTTGTTTCGGTTAATCAGAGTCAGTAGGGAGTTTGTGCTGTGGTTTCTGACTAACTTTATTGTTGTTGTACCGTAATAAACCAAAGAAAAAAATTTAAAATACAAAGTTGCTGGAATAACACATGGAAGACAAGGATGAGCCCTGTTTTATAGTCACCCCTTCCTGCCCCCAGACAGACTTTCCTCCCAGTCATAGTGGTAGTTTTTACCTTACCCCCTCTGATGCTGCAGGACTTTGATTCACACTGGAATTCATTTGTATTTGCATGGACATAATTCACTTCATCATAGCTGTATTGTGAGCTTAAGAGTCCAATTGCTATAGATCTTCTTGCGAGATAAGAACTTCATTTTCAAGTTGTTAACTGTTTGAATAATGCTTTAATTAAACATTAACATCGTTATTGGGATGGGGGGAACAGTTTAATTTCAAACTGTAGAAGGTGTGGAAGAGCAAGAACGTTGATAGTCTGTTTCGGATTGAGCCCGTTGCCTGTAGTGTGTCAGTTGGTGTTTTACTGTAAGTTTCCTCCTTTTTCTGACAGTCTTTTTAATAGCAACAATGAAACTAAATATGTGGGGTTTTTTTCAAATACTCGATTACAAAACCAGGAAATAAAAATAAAACCTGTTGATATATTCTACATACCCTTCGATATATTTGAGTACTTGGTTTTTGTATTAGCCAATGTTTAAGTAGCAAATAGCCAAGATACTTGAAGATCTTGGCTGAGATTTGCAGAGGTAACTAGTGGTTGCTTGCAGGTTTCTAGGCACTGAAGATTTGCAGAAGTGACTGATGTGTCATTTCTTGGATGCTTCTCTTGATGTCTTTATAGGAACTGATTTTTGTTTTTTCATATTGCTGCTTTATTCTTTGAATATTTGGTGTGTCTAGCTAGACATTCCAAATGGCTGGTTATTTTGGAACCCTTACCTTCTACCTTTAGATGAAATACATGAATGTTGAGCTCTTAACAGAAACCATTAAAAAATGTGGTGTTACTGTTCAATGGAAGACCGTCTAGAAATCTAATTTTTGCAATGTTGAAGTCATTCATTAATTTTTCCTTTTTGTCCCTTTTGCTTTCTTTTAACAAGATCCACAGTCACTGTGGAGTAAAATGAGAGAGATGTATATTTTTTTTTTAATGTGGTAAAAATAGTCTTTGTCAAATTGGACTCCAACGTTATTGCTAATAAACGCTGGAGGGGTTGGTTGTTCTTTGCTGTGGTAACCCCTAGCTGTGTCCATTGTCTGGCTGGGATCATTGCAAGCTGCGGATGCCTTTGGCCTGCAGACGGAAGGGTTGGCCTCCACCGCAACAGGCTTTTGTCTAAGTGGTTGCACCAACGCCATTTAGATGCTAATGTGCTAGAAGCTGGCTGTTTTGTACTAGAACTTGACTGCATCTCAGGAATGTGGCCTGTCTGGTTTTACGTTGGCTTCGGCATTAAAAGGGCCTACTGTAATTCATGCCTGCCAATCGATTAAAGCTGCAGTCTTCTGTTTTGTGGCTTTGATGTGCCAAAGGAAATGGTTGGGGTTGTTGGAGAATTACATCCTTTCTTTATAGTTCTCCTAGATCTTACCTGCTGATCTGTGTGCTTTTTGTTTGCCATCTGCCGATTATGGAATAAAGTAAACTTGCAAGGTGAAGCCGTATATGGCATTAGCTTTACTGACAGGATTGGACCTTTTGGTGTCGTCGTTCTGCCCCGCCCCCGCCCCGTTGGTGTTTGTTATATGGTGGGGTGACTAAATGCTGTGCTGTTCCTTTCTGCTTTCCTTGCAGATACAAAGTGGAGTACACTTCTATATTTTTACCGGAAACGTGACAGTTTTCTGTTGTGAAGCTGTTTTCTGGTTCAATGGAATACATATTCTGGTTCATGTTTTAGAGACGGCAAATAAATTAATAACCTAGGCATAACAGGGACATGTTATAATAAATTTAAGTTCTGGTCACTGCAACTCGGTAGCAATTTGCTGTCTTTTTCTGCAGAAAAAAGATGTGTGTGTGGTGCAAACATGAATTTGAAAAGTAGCTGTGGGAATAAAATTTTTGTAGGTCTATTTTGTAAATGAATGCAGTATCCCTACATATTCTTGTTGTAAAATAAAACAAAAACTGTTTATTTTGTTTTCTCAAAATGCATACATTCTTTATTTTTTTTGATGTGTTGAATGATAAGTTTCTTCAAGATTTCATTTCTGTATTAAGTGAAACGTGTGTGAAGGGAGCACAGGGGAGGAAAACTGTAAATCTAGATGGACTCAGCTAGCAATTACTTTCGCAGATAAAACAAAATATGCAAATATCTCCTGAGCAGTCCAAGGCTGATATTCCAGACACTGACTGTCTGTATCCCTAGCCAAAAAAGGACATATGATAATTAGATTTTGAAGGACCATGTGCTGTTGCTACAGAGCTAAATATTAAAATGCAAGAAAGCAGACTACCACATGGCACAATTGATTTTTATGGCAGTTCATGTTAAAATGCTCTCTTCTTATGTTGCCTTCTAGGTTACCTAGGGTGAAACAAAATTACAGGCTTGGAGACTCTGGAAAAGCTCAGCATCAGCATTTGAGGTAAAAATGAACATACTGAAGTAATCTTGGGAGTGTCCTTCTTGTTAACTTTATGGAACTGATTGGAGTAGAAATTTTCATCAAGATCCATTTTGCATTTAAGTTTTCAGTATTGATTTAAAAAAAATTGACTTCAGAATCTCTTTCTAGGTCTGGGAAAACTCATACTTTAGCTGAACATATCGTGAAAATTTTTGTTTTAGAGCTTTAAGAACATTGTAGATCTGCTTAGATACGGTATTTTTGGTTTAAGTTGCAGCTTTGTAGGATGGCTAATATATCTATGAAATTCTTTGTCATGTCTTTCCTGATTTTACTCGTATAGCTAAATGTATTTTTATGCAAATCACCATCTTAATTGCACAATATTTTGACTTTTATTAAAAACCACATGTGTTAATGTACTTGGGAAGAAATGGTTATTGCTTTTTCATGAGTTCACTGTACTTATTGCAGCTTCAAATTGAAATAAAGAAGTTTGAATTCTGATTTTATTTTATTTTATGTTATTTAGCTCAAGAGAAATGAAAATACATGTACATGGAAAAAGCAGGACAATTATACAAAACATCGTAAAATTATGTAGAACATACTACTGTATTTCTCACGTGAACCAGATATCACTATTAATCAGAGTCCTGTAAATAGGATTAGGGAAGTGTGCTTTCCTTGCATGTTTAAACTGCCAAAAATTAGCTTTTACATTTTTAATTCTACTACTAAACTAAAATAGTTTGTGTTCAGGATGGACTTAAATAGTTCATTTTCTGTCAGCAAGTTATAGTATAGGTTTGACACATTTAAATGTTTATAAGCAATTGAATTGCCACAATTGACCCTGCTATTGTAGTTCCCTTTTCAAACCATTTTTATAGTTCATAGGTTTTATTGTTGTTGTTTTTAAGAGCCGAAGCTTGCAAATTATGTGATTAATCTACAAGTTGATATCATGATGTCAAAATACAGTTCGGGAAGCATAAACGCAGAGACTGCGGAAATTAAAACGGTAAGACTATGCTTTGTAGTATGGGAGAAGCAGGTTTTTATTTATCACTTCACTGTATTCTCCTATTTTATATTTAAAACTTCTTCGGGACCTTAGAGTAAAGTAACTTCCATGTATGAGGTTGTAGACATTTACTGTGAATTTCTCTGGAAAGAATAATGAAAGTAGCTAATTTATTTTATCCATAGGTGGTTAGATACAGCAACGGCATAGATAAAAAAGATGTTTGTCACGAAACACATGCTTTGATATTTCTTATGAGCTGAATATGATTAAAAATGTATTCATTTTTTAAAAGAGGGTGTGCGTGTTTGAATATTTCTCATGGATTTTATAGTCAAATATGGTTGTGTTGATGAAATACAATCAATTAAAAAAAAAAAGGAGTGGGCAGAGGGGAGATACCAAGGGTTGGAATTAGAATTTGAATTATATGTTGTTCCAGACAAGAGATACCAAGTAAATGGTGAGGAAAGTAAATGACAGAGAAATTAAGGCCTTAGTTTCAGTAGTATGCTTCAGTTTGAATTATGAGTTCAGCAAAAACAGGAAGAGGGGCTATCAGATTAAAGCGATGTAGAAGAAAAATTGATGATGCGTGGTTGGTAATGTAAGGATGACAAATGTATATATCGTTTCACTGGTCCTCACCTTGCCTTGCACCTTAGGTGCCATACACTCTGCATTTTATCTTTTGTCCTCTGTGTTAAGGAGGTAAAAGACGAGGAATCTGTATAGCACCAGTTCTGCGCCACTGTTTGAGCAACTACATAGTTGGGACTCTTGCACAGGGCCTTATACACAGCGTTTTAAAAAATGAAATAGTTTGTTCCAAAATCTGGCTGCATGTCTGTATGTGTTAAAGGAAAAATGTCCCCTTTCTAAACTTTTATTCTGAATGCCTCATGTACTGGTGTCACTATAGATATACTAGAAAAATGATTTTTGTTTTCACATTTTATTTCTGTACTGGTCAATACCCTACAGCCCATGTATGTTATGCTGATACATAGAGCTGTAATCCTTTTGCTTTAGAGCCTGTTAAAATGTTAGCATACCTTTGCTGTGTCTTGTTGGCTTTGTTGATAGAGCTAGGCTAATTGTAACAGAAAGTGTTTATTAGGCTTCTGCTTCAAATCCAGGTTTGGTCGTATGGGTGGCTGAACACTAGATGAAGGACTTAAGGCGTTTTGTGTTTTTTCTGAGTCTGCTAAGTGTCAAGTTGTATTCCATTTCTTTCCTATATACAGACATTTAGGAGTCTGCCAGGAATTCCAGCTGTTAACTCTATACTGTATTACTTGTGGAAATGCTTCATAAGTGGCTCATTCAAATGTAGAGCCTCAGTGTAATCTTCATTTAATAAGCTCTGTAATGAAACTTCTGAACTTGTCTGTTCTGCCTCAGAAAGCAGCCTTTGCTGCTTTGGTATGTCTTGGTATGTTATCAGAGACTAACTTTCTACTTGTGTTGTTAGACTGGTTCTATATCAGAAAAATAGAACAAATAAAATTATTCTGGTTAATCATCAATATTCATTGTGAATGTTCTTATAGGAATGCTTACATTTGAGCTTTGTAACCATTTGTGTGTTCTGTTTGCCCACCTCGAAATGGAACAGATCTGAAAGATGATTTTGGTTTGGGTTTTGGGTGGGTTTTTTTGTTTTTTCTCCCTTTAAGAATATTATAAGACCAAATATAAAAACTGCTATTAGGCAATGCACATGGTGAAGGTTTTTGAAGGATAACAGATAGTGAGTATATTGTACAGCTATGTTGTATGTTAAAGGTAGTATAATATAAGAGATTTCTGATTCATCCTATTGAATAGTAGCGTTTGACAGTATTTTCTTGCTTTAGGCCTTCTGGGCCAAATGATGTCGTTCAGTTAGAAACTTTGAATTTTGAGTTGGAAGCAGAAATCTCAATGCTTAATTTTCAAAGTAACCTAGATATTGTCTGCTAAATGAAGGGGAAAAAATACCTTTTCCCATGAAAACGAAACTTTTTCGCTTGTTTCTGAGATGTTCAAGTTTTGGGCTTTTTTTTTTTTTTTCCCAAATAAAAAGTGGGTGTGTTTTTGGTTTGGGTTTTTTTAATTTCTCTAAGAGAATGAAGTTACAGTAGTAATATTTACAACATATGCTTTTGTAATGCTTTTGGAGTATCACAGGAAAAGTCAAATGCTTTTAAAAAGCATACTTTTAAAAGCATGTTTAGACACCAGACAATGTACAGATCTTATATCTTGACCTTGACTTGGTCAAAAACAATTCTTGCCACTGCATGCTTATAGTGTAAGTAGAAGTCACTTTATTGCAGACTTCTGCAATAGTTGGTATAGAACATCCTCAGTGAATATTTCACGTTTTGTAAATTAACATTTAAATTAATTTTCTACTATGTATTTTATACTTGTAATATTTTACCATTTTCTTTTTATTTGTTCCTCCATTACCCAATTAAGAATTTTCTGTGTTAGATCTTTCAGCAAGTTAATTGTAGCATTCAGACATAAAACTTCTTACTATAAAGAATGCATTATTCACACTCGTTGGTATTCGTGTAAGAGAATATTCAAGCAGTAAGATTCTATTAATATTTTTTGTATAGCTTGTAGTTTCTTTTCTTTTGAGTAAGTGGATTATTTTTTTCCGCTCCTTGAGGCTAACTTTTTTTTGGCTGATGCTGAGCATGTTTTTAGAGAACAAGTTAGAGATTCCTGAACAAAGATGAAAACCTACAGCATTAGAAAGAATTTTTGTATCACAAGGATTATATTTGGTATAAATTTACAAGTCAACGTTAATGAAGAAAGCAGATGAAACACATTGCATATGGCAGCAATAAATTTTTGTTAGTAGGAGATAGTTGTAGTTTTGCATTAACTTGGTATGAAGGTAACACATACTATGCATGCAAATAGTGGTCAGAACTTGAGAGATGTATTCCCAGGGCTCTAGGCTCTAGTCTCTTCTCTGTTTACTTCAGAGTGTCATTCCATAAATGTTTTAAACAGTCCCTGGAGCAGGACTAGATCCAGGGTGTCTTGTTCCAGGTGAGTCCCCTACTTGGTTTGAGTTGTATTCCTTAGTGTTTCCTTCAAATTTTTTTTGTGCATCAAGGGACTACTTCAACTTGGATGTAGTCCTGTGACTGAAAAACCTACACCACAGTTCCGGAATTATTGTAGACTGGAAGAAACTGCTACTGAATGTTTCGGGCTGTTTATTCTCAGTTGTGCACTTCTGAAATAGTTTTTCAAGTGATAGAACAAGGGATTAGTTTTAGCTCTGCAGTTCGTTGTCTGTTCACATAAACGTGCATTAAAGTAAGGACATAAAATTGTGGATTTTGCCCTTGAAACTATCAAGATTGATGACCATAACTGGACCTTTCAGCATTGCTTTAGTAGAGCAGAGAAGATTGGCTACTGTGCTGCTTTGTCCAGCTTCTCCAACCTAGTCTAAAGTCACAGGAAGCAGGGCTTGTTTCCTATGTTTCTCTCTCCAAATTCAGCTTCATCAGGTTCTTAGTTTCTTGTTCTATCAAATTTCAAAATAACCCAGTGGGTAAAGATAAAACATCTCAGCGTGTGTCTTTGTTACTCACAGTGGCTAAGCGGGGCTAGTTTGGGTGTTTTCTGCATCCCTGTTAGCTGGTTTGTTAGCTAGGTTTAGTTGACTTCGTTCCACAAATTCTGAATAAATCTCAAATGTTTTCAATTTAAAACCTGTTCTTCAAGTAGAGGTGTTTTTTCCCTTTTTAGGTGGTCCGATACTGCTTTTCTTTTATTGCAGAATTTGCTGGTTTTCTTTGCTGTTGAAATAGAGATTTAGAATGATACAATTACTTCATTATTCTGGCTTATTCCCATAATAACATTGACATTGATCTTGTCAGATCTTATATACTTCAATACAAATAATACAAATGAAGGCCAGGACTAGGAAATTTTGGCACAGCAGGAAGTAGCATTGATGGTTTAGGGAGCATAACTTTTTCTTTTACCTGAGTTAGCATACAGTGGGAGGGAATTTAAGCTATTTCAAGTGTATTCTGTCTCATGTGAGCCTAAGTCTGTTATTTTGCTAATTAATTGTGCCGTTTCTCATAGCTGAATTCTCCCTTTTTTTTGGTCAGATTGCAGGGTAATAATGCTATGGTTGACAGTGGCAGGCAATGTTGTTTTGCTTGTGCTTACTTTTTAAGTTACAAATGTGCATGTATGTCATCTTTTGCACTTCAAAGGTGTTTTTTGAGAATGCTTTTTGATCTCGATGAGATGATTGTACTTTAGAGCAGGTCTTTCACTGAAGATATACAGAAACCAAAAGAACCATTTAGAGTATACATTGTTCACAGCTCTTCCAGATCAAGCTGGAACCACACGTAAGTATAAATCCCCTTGCTTCTTGCAGTGGGGTGGCTAACCTAGTATCACTGTCACAAAGTGTGTAGCAAATGAGATAATGTTTATTTGTGAATATTAGATCCTATGGTGGTATTTTATTAGCAGCCTTCTCAAGTTAGTTTTCTTCCCTTAATTCCCTGCTGGTTATGTGATACAGCTGTTTTACATGTTCCCAAAGTTGTATTTATGATTTGGAAAAGAAACACAAAATAAGTGGAATCATAAGCAAAGAGGGGGCACTGCTGATCTGAGGTGGTTTATAAAACTGAAGTGGCTGGGCTGAGATACAAAAATAATCGGGGAACTGGCTTTCGTTTTTATTATGCAAAAGGTTTGGTTTTTTTTTCCTCGTCCCTTCTAGCCTTGAGCAATTATAATGGCTGTGACCAGGTCTCCTTTTAAACAAAGGAAACACATGAGTTGCTGTATGGAAGTAGAGAAAAATGCCTGAGATCATTTCAACAAAATATTGTAGTCATGATAAAGACTTCTCTGTTCTTTGAAGGATTTTTTTGTATGTGTTGCCAACTAGGATGATACTCTTTGGAATGTGAAAAGAGAATAGGTATATTAAAGGGGAGCTTCATCTATAAGCTTGGGGGACGATGACACAGCT